CAGCTCCCGACGAGTTGAATTTTATCAGTCAGAGTATCAGCATCTTCACGACAGTATATGTAATATTCTGTGTTAAATAAATATAATATTTGAGTATTTACTTTGGACATATTACGACATCTCCCGCTACAAACTATTTAATGTCTACATAAATTATAAACTATTTTGACTATAGTTCAAAACGAGTAACTGAAGACAATTTCACTCTATTTTTTTTTTTTTTAGATTATACCAATTCTTATTAAAATTTAATTTTTAATTAGGTGTCATAAGAAAACTATTTATAATATTTTATGGTTAATTAATGAAAATTGGCAATATAATAAAAAAGGTAGAGCTATGTAGTCATTAATTTGATAATGAACAAGAAGTATTTCATTAAGCCTAACGAGCCTTTAAGGCCCAACACTGCTCGGCAAATAGAGCGCCAGTAGCCGAGTCGAACGGGGTACAGTGAGCGCTAACACACTGCGACCTTACCCACTCGGCCACTCCTCCTCTTACAAATTTTTACACTTTACCGCTTAACAAAAAAATCCCATTAATTTTGTTAATGAAACCTTATTAAAACTTTGATTTTATCATAATACAAACGTCAACACTATTGGACTACGGCTTTAAGATAAATTAAATATTAATTTTAATACATGTTAATATAGATTTCAATTATATAGATATATCTAGATATACAATGTTTAACTATTTTGTAGTTATGGTTATTTTTGTAGTGAGAAAAAATATATCCTATAATAGTTGATGCTTTAAAAAAGAAACCTATGTATTCCAAATTATTTTTCAAGCTGCCAATAATCTAAAAACTTTATTTTCAATACGTAATCATTATAGTATTATACTTGAAATTGTTTTGTATGTTATATATATATATTTATATGTAATGTTTAATAACAGATTTTTACTATGTCGTAATTGTCGTAGCAATTCGATAATGCTGTATAAACTATTGGTTATGACAAAATTAAAATTTGAAATTAAAATTTTACTGTCATTAATTAATATAACATTATATTAAACAGTTCATGTTTTTTTTTCAAATTTAAGTTCATACATGGCCAGAATTTGTATTCATGTTATTATGTAAGTAATACCTTTAATATAAGAGTAAAAACTCAAGTTATATTCACTCTTTGTTATTGACATAAGTGGCTCGAGACACATGCAAATTTTTTAAATCGCGTATTCTTGATACGACAATATGTCTTTATTACCGGAATAATGCTCGCTATATTAGAGTCGTAGCAAAATGGCTAATCAACATATTTTATAAAGCGTGTATTCTTGAGATGAAGTTATAGTCCATATTATCCGAATACTACCCGCTTTTTATTTTTTTAAACTGATGCTAATTCTTTTTTTTTTTTTTTGAGCACATTTCAAATGTTAATACACTTGGAGGTTATTATTTATGACGTTACCGCAGTAAGGTAAGGTACTCTAGTAAGAATTAACTGGCAGTATGAATAACTGTAATATACTGAATCAACTATTTTGAGTTCACAAAATAATGTTATAAAAATCAATGAAGTATAACAACTTTAATTTCAACATAGTTAAAATGTCTATTTTTTTTTATTCACCAATTTAAATTTAAATTAATACTTTTTAACAACTGATATGTAATTAATAGCGTATAATACAAATGATTACTTTTTTATTTTAATTTTTGAACAGCTTAAATTGCAAATTCTACTAAAAATGTCTATTTTGTTTACTTAATTTAAAACATCAACTAGATTTTGATAAAATATATATTTTTTTCATGTTCTTTATTCAAAGAAGTTATAATTAGTAAATACAAATTAAACATATTTTTTGGATCGAAAAAAAAACCTTAGTCCATGTGTCTAAGTATTATATTACTTCCAACAAATTAGTGTACATAGAGACTCCGGCAAGGACATATGTCATTTGATGTGTCATACAGAGTTTGTAGTAGACAAATGTATGGATGGTTTACTATATATAAAAAGAGTTCTTTATATATGGATAACATTCATAACAGTGCGCAATTATGTAGAAAAATGTTGATAATGAAAACATACGTAACATGGATTTATAGTACAATTGAAAAAATATTCCTAAAAACGTCACTATAAAAAGGTGAAAAAATATGTTAACAAAGTGATGGTATTTGTGTCGTAAAATAGAAGGACAAGTGTAACTTTTTAACCCTCTCTCACACTTGCGATTTCAAGTCGCACTAATCATTATGTACTCCATAAATATCTCTATATCGTGCTCAAACCTGTTACTAAAACTCGGTATGAATATTTAAAAACAAATATAATTTACATTTTTACTTAGGCACACCATAGTTTGAAAGTCGCACAAAATATGCACCCATGTGTACTCACGATGTTTCCGATGATACCAAAGTATGTTCTTTAACTGTATTCACCGCATATCTTAAGCCATAGCATTCAATTTCTACATTTTGTTTTTATAATAAAATCCCAACACCTACTTATTAGTTATATTTACAAATGATTATTGTTTGTATTATTTTAAAAGTCGGGGGGCATTCAACATAATGTAAAAATATTATGTTTTTACAATTTACATCACAAAACACCACTATTTTTTGTGTATAAAAAAACACCGCAGTTTTAATTCTAATATTCATCGCGTTCCGCAAAATACGGTTTGCATATAATATAAATATTGTGTACGCTGATGAACTTTACATAGTCAACGTACACAAAGCCAAACTCCTAAATCGATTATTAGACTCTAACGTCTCTTTGTACTGACAAATTCTAAAATAACTTAGAACACCCATAAAGACAAAAAATCTTTATGAAGCCAACACATAAATAAATATTGAAATGTTATTACAATACAGCATTGTATGCAAACCAATAATTGTAATTAGAAATCTCTAACAAGAAACTAAAATTTTTAAACTTAAAAGTAAATGATCGCAATATTAGATGATGTATTTCAAAATCACAGACAATAACTATGAGTACTATAATATATGCATGTTATATCTAACAGTGTTATGACACAGGAAGAAAGTGCTACAGACAAATTTTTGGAATCACCACGTAACTGAGATGGGTACGATAATGCAGGCATCATAGCACAATGTGCTGGAATCCAATTTTCGACTAGAATAATTACGAAAAAAAAAAAAATTTGACCAAGAGCATTTTGGCCAAATGTAAACGTGCGGTACGTCAAGCATATATAAGTAAATATAAAAAAGAAAAACGCCACAACGCTAAACTTGCCGCAGGCGAGGTTAATGAACCTTTTGTGGTTTCCTCTGGTCACTATCGGAAATCCTGTGTACTATTCAACACCCTTTTGAAACAAATCAAAAACAGCACACAGATGTTTGATTACATGTCAAGAGCGTTGAACTATTTGGTAGAGCCGATGAGAAAAATGGATAAATATGAATTACTCTGAACATATATAGAATCGCTCATCACTAGCGTGATTACAATTCTTTACAAAAAGGCAAATTTATAAAATTGTTTTTGTGGATGAGTATTGGTTTAGAAAAGTGCTGTTGATCAAATGTTGTTCACATCGACCCGAAAAATACTTGAAAAATTGTGTGTTTTTACACGCAACACTTCAAGATTTTTTATTTACTAACGCATTTTATAAGCGAAAAGTATTTTTTCGTGTATTATTATTACTCATAATATGTTTTTTTACTATGTTTTTATGTTCTTCAATACATGTAGTTGCTTACGGTAGTCGAGTCAAAAAAGCCAGAGCTCAGTTGTATGACGGAATTGACTTTGGCAGTATTTAAAATATTAAAAACTATAAACTTTTTGTCGGTGTACAAAATAATTGTTTCCAATGGATCACCGCGGTTTTGCGTTTACACTCTGAACTTATACTCTGGGGCATTCGAGCCGATTTGTAAAGGACTATTCCTTCATGAAAATTACAATAGATTTTTGATATATTTGGACCTGGGATATAATAATCCCAATCCAAGCACCAGTCAGGATCTAGCCAGCACAGTGGAAGAGATAAAGTTAAACACACGGTGCGGAATTCAAAGCAAATTTTTTACCCCACTGTACTGTTTTTTTATTTTTTATCAATATCAGTAAATATCGATAATTTGTTTCGATATTTTGTAGGTATCGTTATTAGCTTTAGATTCGATACCAAGTAAAATAAATGAAAAAAATGTTTCGATATAACATTCCTAATTGTAATTCAATTCAAATTTTTTAAAAGATTTATTTTAAATTATTTATTTTCTTCAAATTTTTTTAAGATAAGCATAACCCTTTCATTTGGAAGAGAGGTGCTGTAGACTCTGGTATTAACTTATATTAAAGTTCAAATTGTTATAAATGAATATGTAGGCACATTGTATCCACTGGTGTCAGTCAGTAGTATACTTGTTAAAGATTTGTAGCCAAAGCTATTTAACCATTGTGTTATCTTTAATTTAGCGCTTTTAATAATATTATAGGCGCCACAATAAATATTGTTACAATAACAATTATAACAATAATTTTTCAGTATTGGTAAACGTCTCTCATTAATATTAATCAAGTTGCACGCCTACCAAGTGACGCACGAAAGTCGTTTGCCACATAAAAGCGTTTGCGATAGCAGCTTTTGTCGGAGTTAGATTTGGTCAGTCAAAAGTGTCGGCACCTCCGCGCCAGTCTATTTCAATAATTACTTTAACTTGTGTATCAATAAAATATTTTAAAAGTTCAACACTTGAGTAGTAGAAATTACTTGTTTGTTCTACTACTTATTTACAACGACATCGCACGCTACGGTGCTGACAAAATGGATGAACTAAAATATTATGTTTTCTATCCATTTGTCTTAACATGAAACCACTACAAGTTATAGTATCCTACTAATCTGACCTCGTGATAATATTACATTCGAAATAACAAAGTTAGAAAAACGTTAGCGCCACTAGGATATTTCAGCATAGCCCGTGATTTGTGCGTGTGTGTATAAAATCGATTTTAGTTCGTACTCACCAAAGACGTGGGACGTGTAGACGGCAAAACACGGCATTGCTGCATGAACGATTATAGCGTTGAAATGGTAAAACAAAAACTGAAATAATAATTTTTAAACCCGTGGTAAAAAAAAAAATACAATATTATTATTATGTAATGTAACGTTAACAGTCGATGCCGAACTACGTTGGACCGTCGAGCGTACAGCCGAGAGGAAACTAGTAAACAGAGCACCGACCGGTGCGGGAGACCAAGGACACTGGCGTTGGTCATACGGCAGCTGCAGGCGGCCGGCTCGAGCGTTGTGGCTGTCCCCACCACGGTTGACACGTCCCTTTGCATACACACAGTACCCCCGACAGCAGATGCTAAAACCGTATTGTTATAAACACCGGCCGGGCAGCTGTTCCCCGCTGACAAAAGGGACAAATCAATGGCAGGCATTTCACACGGCATTGTGTGTTGATCTTGGGGGAGAATAGGCACGGAACATTTTACAATCCGCATGTAGAAAAAATACTCTTTTTTTTTTTTTTTATACTGGTAGGTAGTAGAATATTCTACAGCAGAAATATTTTACAAATATGTCGTTACACTATAGGTCTCGTTGGGTCAGGCATCTGGTGTATTGTTTAAAACAGAGTGTCGAAATAAAATAACCAACGCCAAAACGAACAATGTTCGAGTATTAAGTACCCACAACATAGTCCATACACGAAATACCTATCCACTACAGTTGCTGTAGGTATGCATTAACATCTCACCGGTCGAGGTTGTTTGAATGTTATGTTTTCGACGGCCAGGAACCCGAATATGAAATTCATTTTTACCTAAGCCCGTGCAAAACCTTATGTTATTATCAATTTTTAGCTAAATTTAATAAACAACTGCATTTTATTCAAAAGCAGTTGCATTACTACTTTACCAGTTTTTTTAATGTATTTTTATAATCCTTAGATTTCAAATACTTATACGTCTTAAACAAACGCAGTCTAATATAGCAGTCAAAAGTTTATTTAAAATGTTAAAATGAGTTTATTAGATTAAAAAAACAAATTGAACATATTAAAAATAATGTATTTTGCATTTAATGTAATTAAAATATGAATTACTAAAACGATTAATTTATAAAAAATCGAATAATTCATAGCCAGATAACGAACCAATAAAAAATAAATTATATTATCTGAAATACATCTTTATAATTAGTATAACACGAGACGGCACTCGTCGAGCAAGTGTTTTATTTCGTTTTATTCCTCTAAAAATTATACAGCATCGGCAGGATTTCTATTGTCGAAAAAAAAACTAAAATAAACATTTTCCCAGTTAAAATTCTGCCTTTATTGAGACTTGAGAGTGCAAGATCTTTCACAATATCCAACAAACATCGCACTAAATAATTTTTTCCTTGAATTATCATAACGAGGTTATATGAAGAATTCAACATGAGTGCAAAGAAAAGATAATAAAACGAGACATTATGGCAAGAGTATAATATTATGTGGGTTAGGACTTAGGGTGGTCCTTTTATTTTGAGAATTTCGACTTCAAACAATCTAAGGCTTTGATATAAGATTTTATGATAAACGTGCCTCAAAGCCTTCGAAAGATAGTGCCCACTAGCTAGATAACAAAATTATTAAAATACATTATTTAAAATTTTGTTGGATATCATTTCATTGGAACCTATATAAAAGGTAAAAACAATTACTTTACTGATACCTATTGACACGGTCGGGTATTGCCATCACCGCGGTCTGGACTATTACCCGGACCGCGATGACAATACCCGGCCGGGTCGTGCTTCCCTAATTGCCCATTAAGCAAAACCCCGGCGCAGCTTATCAGCAATGTTGACCGCCGCCGTTAACATAAATACGGCCGTCACCGGACCGCCGGGTATCAATAGTATTATTATTGTCGTGTAGTACTATAGCGTAATAGAATAAACGGTGACTAACGTAAACAAGTGTTGTTATTTTAATTACTACTAAGGGTTTAATTACTCCGAACGTCTACGGCCACGACACTATCATGATTTAATAAAAAAAAGTCACTGTCTACTTAAAGCCGAACGGCTAAAATTATAAATATACAGATTGAAACAACTAACACAAAAATAGAAACTTTGGTAATTAAAACATAGGAATACTACAAATTATGTATTCAAGCATAGTAGAATGAATTCACTAACATTCAAATAGAAAATTTGGTAATTAAAATAACATTGGAATAATAGAAATGATGTATAAATATAAACAATATATTGTAACACTAATGATTCAGTAGCGGTGGTTTCTGATTCTTCAATATTCTCAATATTCTTCAATAGTCTCCCAAAATCACAATAACCTATTTATGTGCTATTTTGTTCCAAATTACTTGATTTTTTATAGACATTGTATCCAAAACTGATAAAGTTTGAATATTGATCTACATTTTTTTTGTTAAAAGAAGAAAAATCACTATATTAAAAATATGATTTTTTTCAAACATATAGATAGTGCTTATGATTAACACAAAGAAACAATAATAATATTATATATTCGGTTTAAATTAACTGGAAAAAAATACCGTAGTTTACTAAAAATTTGTATAATGATTAAAATACGTGGAACGTTTTACAGTGCCAAAAAACAATTTATTTCAGTTAATACTCAAAGCATTGTTACTTTAAAAACAATCAATACGACACATTCTTTAGTTGGTATTAGGATATACGATTGTATATCTTAGTGTAAGTTTAGTATTTATGTAGAAATAAAAAACACAATACTATTAAACATAAATATCACAGTACAATGATTGATTATAAAATACAAAACGTGATACGGGTGGCGGGTGCCTTGCCGTGTCGTGTGTTGAATAATAAAACGGATGCTTGATATTACGGTTGTTCTTTATTATTCAGAGGTTTTAGGTAATACAATAAGTAACGGTGAGGGCGGGACTCGCATAAGTTTGCCTCTCACGCTGGGTTAAACGGGCACTATGTACCTCACAATTATGGTACTATATTGTCCTACAGGGGATACAGATGTGTGGGGGATGTATTGGGATGACTAGAAGGAAAGTAGGGCAGCTTGAATAAGCGCCTACGGACTCTAGTCACCGGGAGGAGAGCGCAACTTTAATAAGTGACTCTGTAATTTTAGGAAGGACGGCCTGCGATGGGGAACCGTCGGTGGAGCCGTGTGAACTGTCGGCACGTCTGCTGCGGGTGCCGCTCCTGTCGGTTCCGCTGCTGCTGAGTCTCTGTGGTTACTGCTGGTGTCGCTTGCTACTGCTGGTAGACGCTGGCGGTTGATAGTGTAGTTGTCGGCTTCCAAATTATCCAGTGTATAAGATACCCGGATGGTTGGAAGAAGACTGTGTTGATTGTGGGATTGCGGTCGGTATTTATGCTGTTTTCGTAAAAACCCCGCAATCCCATTGGCTGATGTTTTGTTAGTGGTTTTTCGGTAGTTTCGTTTACTATTCGGTACGGATCGTTGGTGGGTTTGAGAAAGGCCGTTTTAGATGTTGTGTTGCACCGTAACAGTGCCCCCCCGCATTTGTGTCCGGGTGTTGGATCTTGTATCCAACAGTTCGTACACAAATTCAGTGTCTTGTTTTGCATGGTTGACGGCATTTTGCAGTTTGACGATTTGATGTTGATTTTTTTTGTATTTTATTTATTTATTATTTTTTTTTTTTAATTTTTTTTTTTTTATATATATATATGTGGCAAAGTTTTTTGTTTGCTAGCCTGATTTGGCGTTCCGATTCGCTCTTTGCCGTAGCCCTTGTTTTATATTATCAGAAAACGGACACACATTGATTATGTCCGTAATTTTTCACGGCCGCCAGAAATCTATCTGGTGGTTTTTTCACCCGTGGTTCTGTCATTACTTTTCTTGCTATCGTGTGTAATGGAGACGTTGGTTTTCCTGATGTATTTGAAAATGGTATGCTTATTTCTTTGCCGTTGTATTCACAAATAATTTGCTCTTTGCCGTAATCGATAACCGCCTTGTGATTTCTTAAAAAATCATTTTCTAAAGTCCCGCCATCGTTTAACTGGCCAACCACTGTGCATGGAATTTGTTCCCTGTGTGGGTCTAGGTTCAACGGTATGAGTGCTTGTTTTCGGATTTTAGTTGGTTTGTCTTCACCCGCTAGGTGGATACTAAGTCCAGTTATCGGGAGCGTTGGTATGTCAGGTGCCTTTTTTGATCTGTCATTATAACACTCTTCCGACATGACAGTTATTTCTGCTCCAATATCAACAAGCAAGTCTATTCTGTCGACTCTTTGACCAGTTATATAAGGGCATTCCTTCAAACTGACTGGCGGAGTGAAGTCAAAGTTCTCGTTGTCGCATAGTTCCCTAAGATTAGTTGTGGACGTGTCATCTGCTTGATCGATCACATCCTCGAGTGCGATAATACTTTTTATGTCTGCGCGAAGATCTGGGGTGTTTATGATTGTGGGCGATCTTAGTCCACAATCCCCTGATAGGAGTTTTTTTCAAGATCAATTTCTTCCGACTCCTCTTCATTGAATTTGTCATATTCGGTCGTAATCTGCTTAAGTTTTCGGTCCTTCTGTCCAGCTTCATTCCTAACGTTACTGGGCGGTGGATTAGACTGATTCTGGTCTGGTTTGTAGTTGTTTAGGCGCTGCAAATTGTTTTGAACTGATTGGTCACTTCTGCCTTCGTTTCTCTTTGTTTCGATTTCTTTTAATTTTTCCCAAATGGGTAGGAATTTTTTTTCTGGACAAGTCTGAATGTAAGCCTGCACGGATATCGGAAAATGTTTGGTGATAAGGTTGATTGATTGTTCTTCATCCATTTTTGGAAAGTCTAACTGCTTAAGTTCGGACATCCAGTAATGGAAGTGACCTTGAAATCCGGATTGGATTGGTTTTTTACCAGCTTCCGTACATTTTATGAAGATATCCCATTGTTGGCTTTCCGAAAAAAAATTCTTTAAAAACATAGTTTCGAATTGGTCGAGATCGGGAGAAGCGTCTTTTACTATGCTAAACCAGTTTGCTGCCTTGTTGCGTAAACTGTTTTCTACTACTAGTAAAATCTGGTCTTCCGTAGTTACTTTTCGATGTGTAATGTATCTTCTTAGTTCTTTAATGAATTTTTTAGGGTGTATGTCCCGCTCGTTGCCATAAAATGTTGGTGGGGTC